AGAAACCAGGGGGCTTGATGCAGAGATGTAGGAGCTGTTGTTATGAAAGAAGGTAGTTGAAACCAAAGATGATCAGCCAAGGGGCATTTCCTCAGTGAATACAGAAGACAGCGAAGAACTGAGCTCTGAGAAACAGCCATATATATAGACGGATAGAAAACCTGAGGGAAAAATGCAATGGGGGAGGTATATTCTGGACACTAGTCACCCATTCCTCTGTTTGTATCAAGTGATTCTCCCATTTCTAGGGGGGAAAATACTGACAATTAAACACAAGAGCATGTATTTCATCCAGACAGTTCTCCATATCCATAACTCCTTCTCTAGGCCCTAAAGATATGTCTTAGGATTGCTGTCATTTCAAAATGAGGTGATTTCATTCAATCCAAAAATGTGTATCTTTTAAGAGGGAATCCTAATATAGTAAGGTTCACTTATACTCTCCAAATTACCCCCGGAGGCAAGGGAATTTGGGAAAAGCACTCAGACATGGCCAAATTATTTTGGGTATTCTGCAACAATAAAATATTTGGCCGATCCTCAACTCAAGTAGCAAGATAGTTACATTCCAAAGTCATATTTTCTTTATATATAAATACCATGGCTTACAAATATAAGTCAATATGCACACATGCAAATACAAAAATGTATAGCTCAGATAAAAAGACACACACACAAATACCCAATAAGGAATAATGTGAATTAATATTTTCTTTTAAAGGAGTTAGTTCTAACTCATTACTGCCAAGTTAGAAAACCACTATGTTCTTCCAAGCAAATCCCTTGCCTTTTTATGGAAATCTCTTGTGCCCTACACTCTCAACACAGCACCAGAAAATTTCTCACTCTGGTTAAGATTCCCTGACAAATAGGAGGACAAGAATAAACATTACACTATGTTTAAATTTTAAGTCAATCTCGAGTCTCTAACATGGTCCAGAGTTATAGCAATTTTTTATTATTTCTTCAGCAAAAGCACTTCTAAACATCACAAAATAATATGTAACTTCATTGTTGTTTTGACACAAATCAATCCCAACTCTGTTTTTAAATACGTAAACTAAGTATAAGACAAATTAGTTTCTCCACAACAACCTACAAAACAAAATTTATTAAAGAAATTTTAGAGGAAAAAGTTTACATTAAAAAAAAAAAAACACTGAAGGTAGTTTCTTAGCAAGAGGTTATTTTGCTGGTTAAATATTTATAGAAGCCATGTATATTTTAAAACTTAAAACTGACCACAACATGCTGAGGGTATGGTTAGGAGTGGCTAATGATGAGTAAATATAGAAATCATGGTTAAGATTTAACTTTCTGAAATAAAGAACAGTGTTCTTCATAGTACATCAAAGTTCAATTTTTTTTTTGTAACATGAAATCACAGTATTTTCTCATTGAGAGGATCTTCTTGATATTGTATTTTCTTCTTATTCTTCTCAAGACAAGTACTTTGGGAGGAGGATGCAGAGAGATAAAGTGATGAGACATTATACTTATAAAAGAAGCTTATAAATTGTCTTCACACTATTAGAGGCCAACATGGATTCCCAGCAAGAGCACACAATCAAAGACTTGAGGAAAACAATTTGACAGGGGCAATAAATATAATAAAGAGAATAAAATTCAAAGAAAACAGAGTTAAGAGGGTCTATAGAAGACTGTAAAGTAAATGTAATAACCTTAAAGAAATTTGTGAAACACACATTGGGAAACTTAGGAAATAAATTATGATGATAAAAAAAAAAAGTTCAGCCGAAACCGGTTTGGCTCAGTGGTAGAGCGTCGGTCTGCAGACTGAAAGGTCCCAGGTTCGATTCCGGTCAGGGGCATGTACGTTGGTTGCGGGCAGGTCCCCGGTGGGGGGTGTGCAGGAGGCAGCTTGTCAATGTTTCTCTCTCATCGACGTTTCTAGCTCTCTATCTCTCTCCCTTCCTCTCTGTTAAAATTCAATAAAATATATTAAAAAAAAAAAAAAGTTCAGTAAATGGGCCAAAAAGAAAAATGGACATAACTAAAAAGCAAGTAAGTGAACCAATCTACTGAACCCATGAAAGACATGAAAGGAATGCGGAACAAAGGACAGAGAGAGAATGTATGAAAAGAGGTAAGAAGGATAAATCCCAAGTTCTGCCAGCTCTCTGACAGGAAGTTTAGAAATCAAACAGAAAAGCCAAAGAAATTAGAGAAGGACTTTTCCAGAGGTAAATAGCAAAATTAGGACTCTTCAGATATAAAGTGCCCAGTGAATGCAATCATCATCATCACTACCACCATTATCATCAGAGATTCAAAATTGAAAATATTGTAGTGAAATTTCAAACCACTAAAAGTGACGACAAAAATCCTAAAAAGTTTCTAGAGGAAAAAAAGATATTCCTTCGCTTGAATATGGACGGGTTTAGTAAACAAAACCGTCTGAGTGATGTCTGACTTCTGAAGCTAGAGGGTACCAGAGCTGTCAAGCTGCCTGAAGCTGCCGCTTGGAGAGACCACAGAGACGGTGGCCTGAGGAGCCCTGGCTGTGAGTCCTCCCGGACAGTGAATACAGACGCCTTCAGGAGGACCCAGCCAGCCACCATCTGACTACACACCCTGGAGGCCTCAGGCCAGACCCACCCAGCTGAGCCACTCCCTAATTCCACAGTTGTTTTAAACCACTACATTTTGGAATGGTTTATTAACTAAAAACAGAAGGAAGAAAGGAAAAATAAAGGAACAGATGGACAATTATAAAGTAAATAGAAAGATGACAAGCTATCCAAATATATCAGTAATCACATTAATAAGTATTCAATAGGAAAAAATTAAAATAAAATACAAGGCAAATATATAAAGCAAAACTAAAGGAAAAACTAAGCAAATACACAATCATAATTAGATTTTAACATTTAACCCAACAGATATATATAGAACCCCACACCCAACAACTGCAAGTTACACATTTTTTAAGTGCCCATAGGTCATTACTAGAACAGACCATGCTGGGCCACAAATCGGGTCTCAACGAATTTCATAGGACTGAACTCATACAGAGTATATATTATAACCATCATGCAATTAAACTAGAAATCAATACATCATCTCAAAATGTTTGTAAATTAAACAACATAATTATAAATAATATAAACAAAAAGAACTAAATGATTATATAATTACCGGAATTGATAACCCAACAAAAAACAGAAATGACCCAAGAAATAGAAAGGCACAAGAATAAGAAATATGGCAAGCACATAAACCAGCAAAAAATTATACCCAGAAATATAATTATCCCTATAAAATATATACAAAAATCTGGAAATAAATCTCATAATTTGGAAGGAGTCAGAAAGTTAAGGTAAGTTAAAGTTTTCCTCTTGCTTGGGGAAAGGATAAGTATATTGAATCTCTATACACGCATGTTGAAAAAATATAAATCTAAATGTGAAAAAGGTAATGTCAAAAACTGGATAATATATAATCTAAAAATCACTCCAGGAAAAAATGGACAAAGAAACTTGACCAATTCAACCAGAATTAGAAAATGAAAAATAAACAATAGTAAAGAAAAGTAAACAAAAGTAATGAGTAAGACAAAACAGATCAGTAATCCCAACATAATAAAAAGAAATCCTTCGAAATCCTAATTTTGTAAACCACGCATAATAAAAGCTTAACTTATATGTAGCAAATTTTATAACATGGTGTATGAATAGCTTGTTTGTCTTTTCTTGTTTTAAATATTAAAATATGCCTCACAATAATGTTTCTTTTATTGCAATTTACTCTAAAAACACCGTTAGATATGGATATGGCAGACAATCTAGCCTTTCAAATCTAGTACCCTCACAAAACAGTCCCTTCCGTTTCTGGGCACCCTAACAGTTAGAATGTTCTTTACACCGCTGTTTCTTTGTAGTGACATTTATTGGATCTCTGTCCTTGGATGCCAAACAGAATAATAGAGACTCGGCTTCTTTCTTCCTCTTATATCTTGCCATGTCTTCCTCTTCTGTCAAACACCAGTATCTTGGTTTATACCCCTCCCTTAGATCTGTAATGCCACACCCACATCTGTCACTCCAGCATCAATGACAGCATCTTCTGAACCTGCACCTGTTAGTGCCACAAAACAGGAGAACCCTGTAGAACAGCCAGCAGAAACACCAGTGGCTACGAGCCCAGCATCAATTGACAGTACATCAGGAGATTCTTCTCAGTCACATCTTTTTGAAGATGCAGCAAGTGCACTTGTGTATGGTAACTGAGATCATGTCAATGGGCTAGGAATGAGAGCAAGTAATTGCAGCCCTGAGAGCCAGTTTCAACAACCCTGATCCAGCAGTGGAGTATCTTTTAATGGGAATTCCTGGAGACAGAGACAGACAGGCTGTGGTTGATCCCCCTCCAGTAGCTACTTCTGGGCCTTCTCAGTCTAGCAACAAATACAACAAGTTCTGGAGGACATCCCCTTGAATTTTTCTGGAATCAGCCTCAGTTTCAACAGATGAGACAGATTACTCAACAGTCTCCTTCCCTGCTTCCAGCGTTGCTACAACAGATAGGTCGAGAAAATCCTCAATTACTGCAGCAAATTAGCCAACACCAGGAGCATTTTATTCAAACGGTGGTCAAGGAGGAGGAGGGAGTGGAGGAGGCAGTGGAGGAACTGCAGAAGCTGGAAGTGGTCACATGAACTATTAATACATTTAAGTAATGCCTCAGAAAAAAGAAGCTAGAGAAAGGTTGAAGGCTTTAGGGTTTCCTGAAGGACTTGTGATACAAGCATCCTTTGCTTGTGAGAAGAATGAGAACTTGGCTGCCAATTTTCTTCTACAGCAAAACTTTGATGAAGATTGAAAAGGACTTTTTTTTTTTTTTTTTTTTTTTTTAATCTCACACTTCACACCAGTTCATTACACTAACTTTGTTCACTGGATTGTCTGGGATGACTTGGGCTCACATCCACAATACCTGTATAAGGTAGTAGATTATTGAGGGTGGGAGGGAGGGATCTAGGATAAATACAGGGCATGCCTGCTTCAATCAGCAGATGCTGCAGATCCACAGTGTGTAAAAGAGGCAACAAAAAAGCAGCTTTTGCAGGTCTCTATCTCTTGTATAAAACAGTAGGTAACTTCCTAGGTTTCACTCTTTTTAGTGTACTAGATCCAGAAATTTAGTGTAATGTCCTGCTTTATATTTCTTTGACTTAACATTGGTTTCAGAAAGAATATTTGCTACCTAGAATCCACAGTTTCAATTTCATGGCAACACTGGATAACGGCTTTATGAAACTGAGACAAATTTGGAACAACTGCAAAGAGATGCCAAATAATTGATGGTTATTGTTGCTGCTTCAAATAAGTATAAAATTAATGTCAAGAAAGCCCATTCTTTCATATTAGATACTTAGGTTGGGTGGAAAAGAAGGGGAACCTTTTCTTAAAGTGAAAATACCGCTATTTTAAAATATCTTGATCATTAAATGTGAGACCCTTCTGATATGATTTGAGAAGCTATAACTGTATAGGCAGTTACTTTTCTGTTTACATTTTCTTGGTTTGTTTGGGGAAAATTGATAGGTGTCTAATTACTGTTTACTTCCTTGTTATATTGCAGTAAAAGTTTTAAAACCAAAAAAAAAGTAGGAATTATTCCATCTATCCTACCTTGTTCACAGAATTGTGAAGATCAAATGAGACAAAGTTTTAAAAAGCACTCTACAAATATTACTCATATTGTTAGAATTCTAAACCAAAACAAAGTTTTCAATAAATAAATAAATAAATAAATGGAATGAGTTCTCTGAGTCTTCATAGTTGTAACAAGTACTTTTCCTAATGGCCCCAATGACGTAAAAAACACTATGGTAATTCTTTTTGAAGGCTTTCTAGCAGAGGAACGGAAGTCAGCACAAACTGGTCTGACATTCTGAATGGCATTAAGGTTAACCAAATGCATAAAAGCACGCAGACCGGTTTCCCAGGTCTTAGGAATCTAAGACAACATTCATTCTTTTGTATCTTTAACTTATTTTAGCTGGAAAAAAACACAAACAAACAATGTACTAAATATTCCTTTAAACACTACACTGCCTGCTAAACATCCAATTGGAACTGAACAGTAACCTCAAAAATCAAATCAGAGTAAGTAGTAAAGTTTTGATTTAACAGAAGAGATAATAAAGCAGCGGTAACATCTAATATTCCATGGTAAACACTTTATTTATTTTAAATATATTTTTTGTTGATTTCAGAGAGGAAGGAAGAGGGAGAGAGAAACATCAATGATGAGAGAATCATTGATTGGCTGCCTCCTGCATGTCCCCTACTGGGTATTAAGCCTGCAACTCAGGGATGTGCCTTGGACCGAAATCACTGAGGCACTTCAGTCTACAGGCTGACGCTCTGTCCACTGAGCCAAACCGGCTATGGCCCATGGTAAGTACTTTATACAGGCCATACCATTGAATTTTCATGAATATATTATTATTATTTCTGTTATAGCTAAAGAAAGTGAGGCTAAGAAAAGTATCTTACCAAAGATAACAGACAGTCATTTACATAGGCGGGATCAGAATTCAGGCAACATGACTCTATGACTACGTTGTCAACCTAAACTGCTGTTTTCTACGAAACTTTTCTCATACTTCATTTTTTAGTAAAAGAAAAAAAATCCAAGAAAAAAATTTTCAGATGTGTATTTCATCTCATTTTCTTGCCATATCTAACTACTATAAAACTAAATAAAAATAGTTAATAACCAGAAGACCATACAACAAACTAGGGTGATGAAGGATTGAGATAACATATCCTACATGAGACAACATTCTATGTAATAAAAAGCTAATATGCAAATTGAGCAAACAACAGAACAGCTGGTTACTATGATGTGCACTGACCACCATGGGACAGACGCTCAATGAAAAAGCTGCCCCCTTGTGGTCAGTGCACTCCCATGGGGGAGCGCCATTCAGCCACAAGCTGGGCTCATTGCTGGCAAGTGCTGTGACGGTGGCAGGAGCCTCTCCTGGGGGGAGTGGGCCTAAGCCCCCAGTCAAACATCCCCCGAGGGCTCCCAGACTTCAAGAGGGCACAGGCGAGCTGAGGGACCCACCCCCTCCCCTGCACGAATTTCATGCACTAAGTCTCTAGTAACCTATATTCTAATATCAGTTTCTTAATTCTTTCAAGTTCAAAATGAAGCCTTGTTTCAGTAGGTTTCTTTGCTCACAGTGGTGGAATTCTTTATTTTTTAATTGATTTTTACACAGAGAGAGGAGACATCAGTGTGAGAGGGAAACATCGATTAGCTGCCTCCTCATGCCACCCACTAGGGATTGAACAATGGTGTGTGCCCTGACAGAGAATCAAACCAGCAACCTTTTGAGCATGGTTTAACACCCAAACTGAGCTAGGGCTTCACAGGGCTATTTTTAGTAAAAGAGTTAGTACCTTAAAAATACCCTTAGAAGTGTGCCTAGCATGGCATAAGAGCTCTATCTTTATCATTACTACCCTCTTTATCTGAGTTATTCTTTGCCTCTATCCCATGTATCCTGTGTTCTCCCCCCAAATCAGCATGTATAACCATCAACCATGAATGAATCTTAAAAACCTCTCTTCATTGCTGGAGAAAATGCATTATGTAATTGATGCCACTGGTAGAAATTCCTGAAATCTTATCTGGGCCCTCAGATTAAACAATAATCTTTTTACCAACCATTGCTCCTTTTGTCAAGTCCAATCACTTTTCCTTAAGCCCTACCCAGAAGATAAAAGTTGTCCCTCCTCACATTTATCATCAACTCTCCTATCTGGCCTCTATAATTCTCTGTCATGCAAGCTAGAAACATACAAGACATACCCCACTCTATTCCCATATACAATTAACAGCCAGGTTAGTTCTGTGAATTTTATCTCCCAAATGTTTCTTTAAATTGTTTGCCTTTTTCATCCATATTACCACTGTGTTAATTAAGGCCTGCATCATCTCTTAGACAAATCCTTCCATAGCAAAGAGATTAAGGAGAATCAAGAAAATGCAAATATCAAAAGCTGAGGGAGATGTAATATTGTGATTGCTTTTTAGCCTCCAATCCGGTATCCCTCAAAACCATCCTCCAACGACCTATTTAACACACAGCTCTATTGTGGTTCCCCTGCCTAAATCTTTCAATAGGATAGACCACCCTCTCCCTATGAGTTCTTAACTTTTTAGATGAACAGATTAGCCCCTCTTCCCACTAACCCGTGATGTACTCTAAAAAGCACAAGAATTTGCAAAAACAAAACAAAACTATTTTTCTTAAGCATAAGTACAATTTTATGGAGGGGGAGAGAGCCAAATATGTAGTCCAAATTTTTCAAATTCTCAATGGGATCTATGACCCCCTCCCAAAAGATTCACTATTCTAGAGGAAAAGGCCCAAACAAATTACCAGGCCTGTGAAATTTTCCATGATCTAGCCGTGATCCATGTCCGCCTCACCAGCTGTCCCTCTGTGGGCAGATATCAAGAGTTGGTGTGCAGCGGACATCTGTTATTTTTGCGTGTCTAGTGTCTCTTCCTTCTCCTTTTAGAATAGCACCCCAACTCTCTGTTGGAAAATAACCCTTGTCTCCCTCACTAAAGTTTTGGTGGAAATGTCAATCAAGGTGTCCCATTCTCCAAAGAGCATGGGAGACTTCTCACCCAATCTCCAGCCAGGCCAACCAGGTGTAATTTCCTAAACGGAATCTTGAGCAGAACGATGTGAAGATGGAAATCGTTAAAGCTGATTCATTCTGACCGTGGTACACTGTTTGTTCCCGCTACCTAGGTCCCTCCCCCTGCAAACTCCCCAGGTTCTCGGATTTCCTGAAGCTTGCAAGTTCATTTCTGCTCAACCATTTTAACCATTTGTTCATCCATTTATTAGAAAAATATCTATTAAACTATATGATGGTTAGCTGTATATGTTGACTTGGCTAGGTTATAGTACCCAGATATTCTAACACACACTAATCTGGTTGCTGTGAAAGTATTATGTAAATGACACCTATGTGGTAACATCTGCAATCAGGTGACATTAGGAGATATCAATAATGTTGAGGAGGCCTCATCCAATCAGCTGAAAGACCTAACGGGAAATAATGAGGATTCACTGAAGATTATGTCCCCAAGACCAGCCAGAGTTCCCAGCTGGTCTGCCCTACTGATTTTGGACTTGGAAGCCCCTATAATCACATATTCCAGTTCCTTAAACTAAGTCTCTCTCTCTCTTTCTCTCTCTCTCTCTCTCTCACACACACACACACAAAATGTGTATGTATATGCAGTGTGCGTGTGTGTGTGTGTGTGTGTGTGCATGTCGCCGACTGGTGGTCCGTTAAGTCCGAAAGGTTGGCCTACTGTTCTAGACTCCTCCAAAGTGTGGGGGAATGTGGAAATGAAGGCGTGCTTAAGAAAGGTGCCTACAATTGTTGTGCAGGTTCCTTTCCTCTACCTCAGGGATCAGTAAACTATGACCAGCAGACTAAGTCTGAGTCACTATTTTTGTGTGGCCTGTAAAAAAAGAATGGTTTTTATATTCTTACATGCTGTTGTTTGTTTTTTTTAAATCAAAAGAAAAACAGTACTTCATGACATAAAAATTATGTGAAATTCAAATTTCAGTGGACATAGCCATGCTCATTTGTTTACATACGTGGTCTCTGGCTGCTTTTGCCCTTTATCAGCAGAATTGAGTACTGCAACAGAGACTGTAGGACCCTAAAGACCTACAGTATTTATAATCTGGCTCTTCCAGAAGTGTTTGCTGACCCCTGCTTTAGTTCATTGGAAAAAGCATTAAAAGGGTGGGATATGTTAGAAAAGAGGGTAGAAAATCTGTATTATTTATTAAGTACTTACCATGTACAAAATACTGCTTTGACCATTGTACATATATTAATATTTTTAATCTTCGCAACATACCGATTAGGTGGAGACTACCAGCCCATTTTATGGAATGAAGCAGAGAGGCTAACACAGACTTGCCCGAGCTCCACATAAATTACAGAACCAGGACTACCACCCTGGCAGTTTGGCTCCAGCATCTGTGTGGTTAACCACAACGCCGCACTGCTTTATCACTCATCTTGTCTATTGAGTCTGTCTTGCATTAATGATGTTGATTCCCCTTAGAATGAAGGATGGCACTCTATAGATGAACCAACACTGGAATAAATGACGTCTGTGGCATGCACTCCTTAGAGAACTTGAAGGATTACAAAGACCTATGCCTACCTTCTTTCTTGAAGGCAGAAAGCCGAGGAATCCAACCTCCTTGGATTCAATCATTGCCTTTCCTCAAACCATCCTGGAACTCAGAAGCTCAGGCAAGCTTCGAGATGCACGCTAAGATAAAGCATGTTCTCTTCCCACCATCATCAATTAATAAAATCTCTGAACTGTGGAGCCAGGATATGGATGTTTCTCAAATCTTCTCCATTAATTCTTTTGTAGAGCTCAGCCCAGATTGAGACCCACCGCTTTTCTCCATTCAAGGAGAAAAATGGTGGTTAAAAAAACAGGTGATGGAGGAACTTGACAAAACTTGTCTGTGAAAATGGAGCTTTCTATTCAGTGTCCCAGCATGCTAGTAAAGAACACTTCTAGTCTTCGTGTGTCACCTCTATATCTGAAAACTTAAAGGAAAAAAAAAGCAGGCATGAAAACAAAACTAAATATTTCTATATATGCATGTATTCTTAGGTAGGAAATTCCTATAAGGACACAGAGCAATCTGATAACTGTTATATTTTCTTATTTGTATTTCTTACTGGATCTGTATTTCTTTATAATGTATTACTTGTTTAAAAATAACGAATTTATTTTAGAAGTGAACCTAAAATGAGGTTTAAGGATTACTTTAATTATACTTTGAATAGGAAAATTACTAAATAATGAGCTAGTAAAAATTACTTGATGCTTTCCTGAAAAGCTGTTTGCTTTTTGTTGAGACACAAAACATAAAATCCGCCACTTCTATGTGCAATGGAAATGTGTGCTACAAACCAACCTACTAAAGAACCTTTTCCACCAGGTGCCTGTACTGAAAGTCTTACTGGGTACTAATTTATCACAATACTTTGTGTGAGGAGAAAGTATTTAAAAAAATGAGAAATAGTAAAATGGAAACATTTACAAACACCAATACCTATCACACACTCTTAATTTTTATAATCCACTATAGCCCATGGCGCGATATTGAGTGCAGTAGGCTGCCCACTGCTTCCGGGGGAGCCAGCGGGAAGGAGCCGTGCGGCCCCCGTGCCCCCGAGGCCCTCCACAACGAGGCAGCAAGCACTCCGCCAGGCCGCTCATGCTGCCCTCTCTCAGTGGTTGCTCCCACCTGAGCCGCCCCCCCAGGACTGGGGGACTCCGCCGGGGCTGAGGGGACTGGGCGCTACCATCTTGTGGTTATGGGGACCATAATATTTGTGACAGAGTGACGGTTATTTTGCATATTAGCTTTTATTAGATAGGATAATAAATTCACATAACATTTAGTTAAAATCAAATATCCTCCTTCTGTGGACTATTCATTTAAATTCATTTGAAATTTCTGATATGGCTTTGGGCTTCAGAAAACCAAGAAGTAGGCAAGGGGGTGGTAAGGCAGTATCTAAACAATCACACACGCTTGACCAAAGGTTTAAAGCCATAAGGAGCTAGTGCCCAAGTGGGGCTGTCATGCTTGCTGCTGTCATCCTGAGTAAAGAAACCGGTTTTATGTATCTTCACAATATGGTCAAGTTAAAATCTGCACCAACGAATAAAATCTCCAACCTGGCAAGCCTCAAAAGACAAAAATCACAAGTGAGATGCCCATTTTTTAAAACATACCGTGCAAAAAAGTACCACTATTTTGATAAAGCATAATCTTTTTCAATGTTTAATGGTTTTCCTTAAAGAAATCTGCTTGAATCCTGCAAACTCTCAATCAGATTGAGAGTCTGTAAAAATCAGGTGCTGATTCACAGAAGTGCTAATTAATACAGTATCTATTCTGATATTTTTGGAGCTTTACGATACTGTAAGCCTCAGAGAAATGCCTAAATAATTCTGAAGACAATATGTAAAAGGAACTCTGTAAAAATTGGCAGGAACATATAAGATATCTAAAATAAGGACATTACCAGAAATGCAAAAAGAGATGATATATCTCCTTCCAAAAGGAATAAAAGTTAGGTAGCAGAGAGAATATATGCCTAAGATCTTCAATCAATAAACCCAACATTAAAAGGCATCTCTGACAGAAATGTGTGGTGCCAGATATTCCCAGAAAGCTCCCAGCTCAAGAGCTTACTTGTTCACTTTAAAAGTCAGGTGCTTTTAGAGTTCTGAATCACTGCCAGGCAATAAAAGGTCTCAAGCCCAAACATGAAAATCCTCAAAAATCTGTTATTACTCCAATCTAGTTAAAATACATGTACTTGTCTTAAAAAAAAAAAAAAAAAGGAAACACACACACACACACACACACACACACACACAAACTAGCCAAACTTAAAACTGTAACTTGTAATCTGAAAGAAAAAAAAAAAAAATACAGGCACATCTGCTCTCTTAATGTAACATTTCCTATATCCAGATATAATAGTCAAAAAAAGAAATGAAGAAAAAGCCTAAAGAAAGCCTCAAGTATATAAAGTGCTTCCAATTCTTTCTTTAAAAAAAATATATATATATATATACACACACATATATATATATATTATTGATTTTTCACAGAGAGGAAGAGAGAGGGATAGAGTTAGAAACATCAATGAGAGAGAATCATCGATCAGCTGCCTCTTGCACACCCCCTACTGGGGATGTGCCTGCAACCAAGGTACACGCCCTTGACCTGAATCGAACCCTGAACCTTTCAGTCCGCAGGCTGACGCTCTATCCACTGAGCCAAACCGGTTTTGGTTGCTTCCAATTAACACAGTAATTCTGCCACAAATGGAAATTTATGGTACAGAAAAACACAAGCAAACAAAATGTATGCCCAAAACAAAAAGCCTAGGAAACAAAGGTCTTTCACTAGAAGAATGA